TTATTACATTAAGTCTAATTAAATCTAACTCTAAAAAATTTACAATAATTCTGCAAAATTTTAACAATTCTGTTTAACAAATAAGAAAACTGAGCCTTAAAGTTACATAAACAGAAAACACCAGGGATTTTAAATCCTGGTTTGACCAACTTGAAAGTAGGTAAAACAGTAAGTAAAGGAACAAGATGTGTTCCAGACGTGTAGTAAGTTAACTGGAGACTGGAAATCTGGGAAGCTGAGCAGGGAGGGGCCTGGGACTTAACTGCATTTTATTGATACTATATCAATTTATCAACTGCTTCTTAATTCTGGTAAATCCACTTCCAGTAAAGCAAACCTAGACACGCACTGGAATATCTCCAAGAGAAACACTCATCAGTAAGATGCAATGTGAAAGAATTTCAGTGCAGAGAAGCTCATTTTAAAAATTCAAACATATTAAACTTGAATATAAATTTTATATCAGTAGCAAAGTGACTATTCCACTGCAAAGATTTTACTTTCTGCCAACTGTGAATTTCTTTACTCAAGGTATTTATCTGGGCACAAAAGCCTTATCTGTGTATCTGAAAATCAAGTAGTACAAAATCTCTTTCTCTCTCTCTCTTTTTTTTTTTTTAAGTTTGCTAATATAAAACAGCTGAGTGGGTTCCTGCACATTTAATCAAATTTTTAAAAGTTCACCTCTGGAGAAGAAAACAAACATCAGAAACTTTAGTCCAAAATGATTTCTGAGAAAAATTACAGAGCACTGATAACACAGAATAGAAGTCACTGCCTTCTCCCAGTGTCAACTACATGACACAGGACGGTGTTCAGTGAGTCAAGGACTGTACCAGTTATGGCCTGCTTCGAGTATGCAAAAGCACCACATAAATATTAGAATATATCCCAATCCAAATCTGTCCAGAAATTTCCTTGTTTATTTCAATACTTCACTCTTAGCTACTTATTAATTTGGACTTAATTTCTTCTCTCAGACAATGATTATCTCAATCGAAATCATTATTTGTGAATTATTCAGGCTTTAGACAAATTTACCAGAATTTAGTTAAAATGAGATTATTGTAGACTTAAGGTGTATTTTGTCTCTCATTAACAAATAACAAAACTCTCCAGATTCCTTTAACTCTTAAAGTCCTCATGCTATCTTATTTTTGATTATCATAATTTAACAACCTTAAGAAGAGATGAATTGCCATTGAAAATCAAAACTCTCTTTTGCAAATTGCTTTAGCCATTTGTTGATCTCTTTTCTTTCTTGCCTGCTTATATAATTCTTTATTAAGAGAAAGGAGTGTATTTGGTTTCTCTCTCTCTCTTTTCTTTTTTTTTTTTTAATGTTTTTTTTTTAACTTGGATATAGACCTTTATTTATTTATTTATATGTGGTGCTGAGAATCAAACCCAGTGCCTCACACATGCCAGGCAAGTGTGCTACTGCTGAGCCCCAGCCCCAGCCTGATTTCTCTCTTTTTTAATCTTAAAATTCTTCTCATTTCCTCTCTGAGCAAATGGATCCTTCTGGTGACATTATTAGACTTGTACCTGGTGTCATTAAATC